TTTTCTACATTTAAAAGTTGTGCTTGATTCTTTAAGTTGCTCATGTTTTTTCAAGTCAAGCAAATCACCCAGAATCCTTAACTTGATTTCCTTGATGCATTGTGACACCCACTTCTCACTTCACTTCTACTTTCAAAATTAATTCCCAGTTACCATATGCTCTCAGGGATTTGGCCCTAATTTTTAGAGAACTGAAGCCAGAGATCACAAATTGGCTACTCACACTTTTTTTTTTTTTTTTTTGCAAAATAGTTGTTAACATGCAACTGTAACATTGTAACATCTACTGAAAAAAATGGAAGGCTTGGCAACATTGGAGCCTTCATTCCCATGGTGACAACAGTGTGTTTGACCTGAGTAGACAGTTGCCACCTCTCAGACGGCACATCTTATCTCCTTTCCCCAGCCCCCATTATCCTGAGTGTCAGTCCTCATTTATAATTCTCACACTGTTGCTTTTCTCCCCCCGCCTTTTTAGTTACCTTCCAGCCACTTATTTGTGACCTCTGTTTTTCCCCATTCCATCCCCACACTTTATTTTGCTTCAGTATCACAACCTTGCACAGACACTGGTAGGAAATGGCTACCTTAAATGCACTTTGAGTCTCCCACTAGTATGGAAAAACACCTGGTTCACTTAATAGCAACAATCCATCCCATACCCTAGGTGTTTAATAACGGCCAGGCCTGTAAGTGATAAAGCTAAAAAAGACAAGTTTCCTTTTTGCTTTCCTTTGAGGAGTTCACACTGTTTTGCATTCTCAGGGCACTTTATACTTTTCAAAGTGCTTTAATATGCATTGTGCAGTAGCTCATTAGTTCCTCTTAAGAATCACGTGGGGGGGAAATGCAGGGTAATTATATTCCTGGCTTTAAAGTTAAGAGAGTTGCTTGGGGGTACTTTCGATGCTAATTGAAGCTTTTTAAAGTGCCAGGCACTATTCAAGGCCCTAGGCAGACAGCCAGGAAGGGAAAGACAGAAGGGTCCCTCCCTTTATGGAGTTTATAGTCTAGTGAGAGAGGCAAACATTAACGTAGATAATGCTAGGACGGTGACTACTGCCACATTAAAGAGGGAAGAGACTCCTGGCTGAGCAAAGCTGGTCTCGAGAAGGAAGCGACTGGCTGGGCTGAGCTGTGAAGGCAGGAGCCGGCCCCATGACGACGGGAGGGAAGCGTAGTGGGTCCCACAAGTGCCAAGGGCCGGGAGGCTGCCCCCAACTCCGGCCCTCGACCTTTCTCCATTGGCCTGGCCCTAGAGCTAAGACAAGGCCCTCGACAGGGGCCCGCGTTTCCTCTGTCACCGTTACTTACAAGCTGCTGACCCCCGGCTTGAGGCACGGCCCCACTGGCTCCGCAGAGGCCGCAGGGATGGCGCCGCGACCTGGCCCTGTGGCTGCGCGGACCGGGCCAGGCTGGCCGGGGCGGGGCAGCTAGCGGGCTTGACCAGCGGGCACTGCCCAATATGGGCCTGTGCGGGCCTGGTGATATAAATAGACCGCGCTGGGAGCGCAGGGGACCGAGGGCCCGCGCCCTGCGGAGGGGGCGGGGGGCGCTGGCAGCTCCTCTGAAGTGACAGCTGCTTGCCCTCGGCACCGCGGGAGCCCGGGATCGGGCGGCTCTGCGCCTGCGCTAGTCGTCCAAGCGGCTCTGCGAAGGCAATCCGCAATCTGCGGGCCCGTGGGCCGCTCTGCGCCTGCGCTAGTCTTCCCGCGCGGGCCCGCGTGCCAGGGCGGCGGAAGATCCGCCCGGAGTGGGCGAGGGCATAGTTTTAAAGAGAATCTGGAAATCAGATTTCTGTAAGTGACACATCTATCCACTTAATCTTTTTAAAAAATGCAAACGACCAAAACCCAATATGTGTGGGCTCACTGAATGTGGCCAGGGAATAGGGTTGCCAGATGAAATGCTCAGTTAAATTTCTGATAACCAACAGTTTTTAAGTATATGTCCCAAATACTGCATGGTCAATTCACATTTAACGGAATGTGGGTGCTTGTTGTTGCCTCTTTGGGGTTCTGTACTTTTATTTGCTACGTCTGGCAAGTCTACGTGGAAAAACCAGCAGCCCCATGACCTTCGGCCTCAAGTGGGAGGTCCCCTGTAAGCCTGAGGAAAGACTGATGAGTAATGCCCAGGTTTGGGGTGGTGCAGGGAAGAGGAATGTTTCCTGGAGGGAAGTGTAACAGAATATCTACTGGGTGGATAGGCAGTAGTATTAGGTCAGCCAGTTTAAAATAAAACAAATTTGTGTTAACAAAAAATTGTTATCTTATGCAAATTTATTTCTTATATTCTGGAGTGCAGACGTCCAAAACTGGTCTCCCTGGGGTAAAAGCAAAGTGTCCGCAGGGCTGCACTTTTTTTGGGGGGGGGGAGGCCCTAGGGGAGAATCTGTTTCCTTGCCTTCCCAGCTTCTATTAACTGTACTCATTCTCTCTGCAGCTCATGGCCCTTTCCTCCATCTTCAAAGCCTTTGGAAACAGAGCTGAGTCTTTCCTAGATTGCACTTGGTACTGATTTTTCTGCTTCCCTCTTTCCTTTATTTAAATTGTGGTTAAATATACATAACCTTTACCATTCACCATATACATAAAATTTTAACCATTTTTTAAAAGATTTTATTTATTTATTTGACAGAGACACAGCGAGAGAGGGAACACAAGCAGGGACAGAGGGAGAGGGAGAAGCAGACTCGCTGCTGAACAGGGCGCCGGATGCAGGGCTTGATCCCAGGACCCTGGCAGATGCTTAACCGACTGAGCCACCCAGGTGCCCCAAAATTTTAACCATTTTTAAGTGTATAATTCAGTGGCATTGAATACATTCACAATGTTGTGCAGCCATCCCCACTAACCATTTCCAGAATTTCGTCATCAGAAAGAAAAAGTTTCCCAAACAGCAACTCTGTACCCATTAACTCCCAATTACCACCCTTGCTCCCCTGCTTCCCCTCTCCTCCCAGCACCTGGAGACCTCTATTCCACTTTCTGTCTCTATGAATTTGCCTATTTCAGGTGCCTCATACAAGTAGAATCATACAGTATTTGTCCATATATGCCTGGCTTATTTTAGTTAGCATAATGTCCTCAAGATTTATCCATTTATCATTCCTTTTAAAAGTTGAATAATATTCCATTGTGTGTGTGTGCGCATGCACATGCGTGTATGTGTCTACACACATACCATATTTAAAACAAAACACATTTCATGTTGGTAAATAAAATTCCTTAAAGCATTTTAGAAGCTCATGTCAATCCTTGCATGCATTTATATTTACATGTACATATTAGAGTTGTTTGATGAAACTCCTGTCTCCCTTTCCCACAAACATTTCGTGATCTGTGAGCCCCATTTAGGTCCTTTTACACCTGATTCTATTCCTGCTTCTGGTTTTGTTTACCAGATGATTGTGCTAAGCTAATGAATCTTTCTCCGTTTGCTCTGAAGACTATTTGATTTCCCGTGTGGCTACTTTATTTCCCCTTGTTCATTTGTTTCTAGAGGAAGTGAAATATGGTGTCAAGAGCTAGGGCTTCCTGTGGGTAGAGAGGCTAAGTTGGAAGCTCTCAGGGACTTTAGCTGATTCTCAGATGATTTGCCAGATGATTAATGACGGATTAATATTATCAAATATACTGATGTACCCAAAACTTGTTTTAGGGAACATGCTTTTTGAATAGATTATATATGAATATGTACTTTACTCAGAATTGACTTACTGCTTCATTTTTAGCCTTCACTTTCTTACAATGCTGAGTTGCTTCTCCTGTATTCCTTTGGGTATATTTTGCCATTTTGGTTTAATTTATTCCTCCTTCTGGCGCCTTGAAGCTAATCTACCCTGTGCCTGGCTCCCTTCGATTGTGATTTGCCTCTGAGCAGCTTTTCCTTAATAGAGAAATCACTTTTCTCCCCACATATCCACTTCTGCCCCATGACATTGCCACATTTTAAAGGAAAAGGACACACATCTGAACTACTATTCCTGACACTGGTTCCTATCTTGAACTATTATCTATCACTTGGCTTGAGCAGTTCCTTGATTAGGGAAAACCAGGCTTCTAAATGAAAAAATGAACAAGCAACCTGATTATTTTAAACTTAATTTAACCCCCCCCGCAAAAAAAAAAAACAGCCTGCCACAGAATGACAAATGGATACACACCAGTGGTAGCAGCTTTCTTTTCGTGGTCTTCATTCTTACTCTCCTGCTGTAGTTCTTCTGCTATATCTTCTTGTCTATGGAGTGATATTTTTGAAATATTATCTGTTTCTTCCCACCCTCTTTCCTTCATCATATATTTTCTTTATGATGCTTTGCTTCTCTATGCCATTTCAAAGTTGAAAGTGCTCTAGGGTCATTGCCTCAGGGGTGGGGGGGGTTGGAATCAGGACCTCAGAAAACCTGGCAGGTGGGGAATGGAAATGCTCTCTTCTGATTCCAGAAGCCTTGGCTCTTTCAAGAAAGAAATGAATTATTGGCATTTGTAATACATTTGGGAGGAAACCTAAATTACAGTAATGGATCTTCTTCCCGTAGTACCCCTTTCCCCAACTGAGAAACAGGGAAGTCTCTAGAGGAGAAGTAATAAAAAGAAGACCCATGCCCTGTTCAGCCAGACTAAGTGTGGGGTGGTTTGGCAGCCAGAACCCAAAGAGAGAAAATAACTCCATAGCATCTTGGCCAGCGAGGGCTTCAGGTAACCATTCCAGAGGCTTGCCTATCCTCCTGGAGCCCCAGTGGTAGAGGGAGCCACTGAACCAGAGAGGCCCGTGCAGACAGGTACGTGGCGCTTCTGGCAAGACCAAGGACCTAGGGGCAATGGACTTCTTGTGGGTCAGTGCAGACAGATGACAGACATTGAGCAAGCGAAGGCACGCCCCTTGGCCTGACTCCAGTGTTGGTTAGACACCCCTGCCCCCTCCCCCCCGAACTTAGATGTGACTCTGGGGAAAGGGAAGGTTTGGCCATCCTGGTGGCATGAGACCTTCAACTAGAACGTGTTGACACTAATAAAGTCGTATTTCACCCACACTGTAGTTTGTGGACTGTGGAAATGGAGGGCTTGACACCCACAGAGTCTGGTGCAGAAGCACTGAGCATCAGCAGAAGTGGTTTGTCACCCTATGGGGGACAGGATTCAGGGAACCTAGAGATTCTTCTTTCAACTTGAGTTTCAGCAAGCAACAAGGAGCAACTTGAAAGGGAGAGGTAAGAAACAAGAACCAAAGTTATCACACCGTTAATTTCTGTCTTTTTTGTGTAGCTGGTTCTCTTCTCATCCTGAATGTTAGCCCCCTGAGGGGTGGGGAGTATGTCTTTCTTGTTCACTGCTGGATCCTCAGCACCTGGAAAAGTGCCTGGCACAAAGGCTGTGCTCAATAATTCTTAGGGAGTGAACAAGTAAGCAGGTCAGAACCGTTTGTTGCGGGTAGTGGAATTCAGTCTGGCTAGTGTGGGGTGCCCCGGAAGCAGGCTTGGATGTTAGAGCACTGGGGGCAGTGTGTCCCAGGGCAATAGTCGGAAGAAATGCCCCTGTCGCCTGCTGCTCTGCCCCATGAGGGCATGGACGTCAGAAACTTCCACAGCTGCCTCATACTCTCCCTTCACAGAGCTTGTCAGAGGACCTTGATTCACCTCCAGGTGACCTAACTCTCCTCCACCTCCAGGTGAACTGTGGGTACCTCTGACTGACAGAAGCCGGGTCACCTCTCCACACCCTGGCTTTGAGAGAGGCTGAGAAATGGAACCTGAAGAAAAAAGTGTTTTTATACTTTCCAGCTCTCATAGTTGGAGAGTTGGGATACGTGTTGCCATCCCCCTCCCCCGCCGAGGTTTGTGGGCTGTGAGGAACGAGGCCACCACGACCTGACGGGGCCAGAGGTAAGTGTGTGTGTGTGTGTGTGTGTGTGTGTGTGTGTGTAGGGTATTTGTGCCTGCAGCTTCGGGCTCAGCACCTGTGCGTGTGGAAAGGGCAAGGATTCTAGCAGTTGCAACACCTTCATTTTGATATCCTCATTGGCTGTTTTGGTCTGAAGGGCTCAGAGCATTGTTGCCTGTGGCTGTCACATGGTGTTCACCCTACAGAGCTTCGTTCTGTAGCATGTGTCCACACTTGTCATAGTTTCCCATCAAGCCCGAAAGCTCCCGGAGGTCAAGGGCTCTGTCCTCTTCACCTCTGTGGTGCATTCACATGGCTGCCTCAGCCCCTCCGGAGAATAGATGGTCAGGGAACGTTCACTGATTTGGATGACCGAGAGGCAAGGCTGGTAAGTGACAGGAAAATGGGACTGGGGAATGGGACACCCGTTATCCTAACCTGGCACCGCTCCTGAAGGCCTCACAGCCTCCTGTAACTCAGACTCCTGGAGGATAAAGGCAAAGTGAAAATGCATCTACCTCACAGCCAAGTTATTAGGAGGATGGGTGAGGAGAGCAAACGGATGTGTAAAAGGGCTTTGATAAACTGTAAAGTAACTCAACGTCATTTTCCCTGATGAGGCATGTGATATTCACTGGAAACTCCTTTCCCCAAAGATCTTGAAAATGGGACCGAAAGCCATTTCTTCCTGGTAATATTGATCATATCCCGTCTTGAGGCAGAGATGTGGACCATATTTCTTCCAGAGGCTCTTCCGCTTTCAGAATCTGTCACAGGGAAGCATGGGGAAGGGAGTTCTCTAGCTACTCAGCCCTGCTTTCCCCCTTCAGTGATAATAAACCGAGCTCAGATAGTCCAGCCTTCAGCCTGCAGGTGTTCAAGGCTGCACCCTAAATCTAATAGAGCTGAGGGGTTTTCAAAGATCATGAACTTTCTGGAAGCCAAATTTCTCTCCATACCCCAAGATTATTTCATGTTCCCCAGCAATGAAATCCTCAAATCCCGAGTATATGAATCATTAAATCTTGCTTTTTAAGCAAGTAGTTTCTCAACACAGGTATAACTAATTATTATCGTCTGTTGCATTATTATGCGGTGACCACTATTTATACACTGTGTAAGTTCAGGTATATAGGTTTTGCTGCTCTAACAACGAATTTGACTGGATAGCTCCCTAACGAAAAATGAAGTTTCTTTTTCCTTCATGCAGAATTACAGGGAATGAAGAAGCAAGTGGGGCAATGTGAGTTAGGCACCATAATAAGAGGCCTCAGTGGTTCATGGCTTAACATAATAGAAATGATCTTTTGCTGATGCAAAGCCTAAGGCAGGTATTCAGACCATCAAGGTAGCTGTCCTTCATCTAGTGGTTCAGGGACTCCAGCTGACAGTGGCCCTGCCGAGGGCCCCCCAGGTCTTCATCTCCTGGCCAGCCAGAAGGAAAGGGATGCTGAAAAGGGTACATAGCCAGTTTGTGGGTCAGGCCCAGAAGGGGTAAATCTTACTGCTCACGTCCCATTGGAGAGGATGAGGGTGCATAACTTTGAGGAAGGGTGGGAAGTGGAGTCTAGTTCCATGTCCAAAAAAAAGGGGAAAAGGATTTTGGTGGGTAGCTGTGTGTCATGGACCAACTGGAAGCAGAGACACTGAGTGCAAACCAGCACTTACGAACGAAGGACAGTAGTTCCTCCAGATTGGAAAATGGAGTTCTGAGTTAGAACAATTTGAGAAATGCTGTGTTCCATATCCCTTATTGGAGAATCAGAATGCAGAATGAAAGGTTCTGATGAATCCTGCAGTAAAGATGCAAAGCATTTTGGGCGCCTGGGTGGCTCAG